TCATTATCCCATATTTTGCTTGCCGTCATTCATTCATGATCTGATTTTTCCTTTGATTTGACTCTTAAAAAAAGTCACCTTATAAATAGTTTGGCCCTATACCCAGGTTAAAATCTACCCTAAGCTAGTTAAAGTTTTTATCAATTTTTCTAAGGGATTTTTAGGCCCCCAAAGGTTATTGTGAAAAATTTACTCAAGTTATTACTTATTGAGCATGTTAGATCCCTGAGAAACTTTTGAGTTCTTGAAAGGTTAGGGTTGTTGAATAGGGTTTTCACCTTTTAGATGAGGGTAACTTGGGAACATTTTATTAAATAGGATAGTAGAGCCTCCCAGTCCAAAAAAAAAAAAAAAGCCACTCTTACCTTCCATTGCCTATGATCACAAAAGAAAAAAAAAACTACCTTCAATTGTAATGTTATGACCTCATTCAATCACCAATATGATTATATTGACTATCATCAATATAATGATATTAATTGTCATCAATATAATTATCATTGTCAATATGATTATGCTAATCATCACCATTATGATTATGTCAATCATCATCAATATCACTATTAATATGATTTAGTTGATCAATAAGACTTGGATTTCATATGTTCATTTTTTGAACTGGTGAGAGATAAAATTGATGAACTCCAAAGCTCCTTTGATCCACATTAAAAGAAGGGCATTGCCATCAAGTTGAGAAAGATAAGTAATATCAAAAGGAAATAACTCTTAATCTTCTTAATAGTATCTTAAAACATTATAAAGGCCCTAATATTTTGACTTTTGAAGGAAATAATATGCCTAACAAAGACCATGTACATATATCAATGGTGCCAGAGAGCAATATCATTGTTCATTTTGAGTTTAAGGCATGTGATGATATAGAAATTAAAAAGGTCCAATCAAATCATATTGAAACTTTTGCTCTTACCTTAGATATAAGCATTATTGAGACTCAAGAAGTAACTCTTAATCAAGAAGAAGAGCAATTATGCAAACAAATTCTACACATGGTAGCTGAGAATTTTGAGACAATTAATGATGGGATCTAGTTTCAACTGACTCTTGCTTTGCCTAGCTAATTCATTTACTATGCCCTCTAGTGCTAATGTTATTGCAAATGTGGAAGCACATATTGTTCTTCAACCACATGGTCTCCTCCAATATTATCTTATTCATTGGAAAAGATTTTCAGATTTATATATTATGCTTCTACATGCTTAAATTATTTGTTATTCACTTGATGACATTTGTTGATATTTGATTTGCTGGAAGGGGTTCTCAAATAGAGCAATAACTTGGAATCTCTCAATTTCATCATACTTCTTGAGCATATCTATAATTTTACTCTCCAGAGGAGAGTTATTCAAGTAAAGGAGAAATGATGAAAAAAAAAGAATAATTAAAAATATTGAAGATTTGAGAAGATTGAAGATATTTTGCTCTTTGAAGGTTGATGATGTTTTGCTCTCATATTAATTAGGTATATTTTGTTTTAATTTGAATTATTATTATTTTTTACAATTTATTATTATTTTTTCATTTATTGCCATCTTTTTATTTAATTTTAAAATTTCTAGAATTTTCATGTATTTATTTTTAGGGTTAGGTTGAGGCTTATAAATAGCACCTCAACTCCTTTAATTTGTATACATATTTAATTAAATAAGAATTGCTATGAGTTTCCTTCTTTTTTGAGTTTCTCTCTTCTTTCTATATTATTTCTACTCCCTTTCTCTCTTTTCCATATTTTTTTCCCCTTTCTCCTTTCGTGTTTTGCATCACCTACACACTCTAAATTTAACATTTTTGTGCATGTGATTATATATATATATGACCATGATATATTTATATACCTTGTTCATTGTATTTATATACATAAATACTGATCAAATTAATGAATTTAATCATGATTAGATCTTTTAACAATTCCAAACTCCAAGAAGAAAGAAAACAACTCCCAATACTCTTACCTAAGGACACTCCTATCAATCGCTATATATCTTCTTGCCCTTTATCCATGAGAAAAATGTTTCTCTAAATATTATTTTTACTTCAAAACAAGGACGTACCCACGTTCACAATAGAGGGGGCAATTGAATAAGCAAAGATTATTTTATTTATTTTCATGTTAAAATTACACTTATCCCCCTTTAAAATTGCAATTGCCCCTTAAAAAAAATTAACTACCCCACACTCTCTTTAAAATTAACCAAACATACATATTTAAAAGGTTAAAATTTACCTTTAGCTCTTTAATTTCACACAAAGTAATTTTATTTTGATCTTTTAATTTTATAAAGAATCTTTTCAGTTTTTTAGTTCAAACACCATTAGTTTGATCAGCAAAAATTTTTTATATTGAATTTTTAAATACTGGCAAAATATTTTTAAATGTTGATATATTAAGTTAAAATTTTTAAAATAGCAACTATTGGCACAAAAAATAATCATTTAAAATTAACAATATTAGGGCTAAAGATACTTTATAAAATTAAGAAATTAAAATTGATCCTTATACAATATAATTAGAGGACTAAAGCTATACTTTATCTTATTTAAAATATAGTTATTTAAAATATAGCTTATCTTTTATTTATTATAAAAATAAATTTATGATAGAAATGAAATTATTATATATTTTAAACTTCTCACATAATTTATTTGTATATTTATTTAATTAATATTTAGAATTATATTTTCTGAAAAATTAATAATATTTATATGTAATATAAATGTTGCTCCCATTAATAATTTTTTTTGGGTCCGTCTAAGCTTCAAAAGAGAGATCGATCACAATCAATGATTTCACACTATATACTAACGTATTATCGTTCCATCATCACAACAAATCATTCACTCAATGAAATACATATTCAACACACACACACACACACTATCATTCAAAGATCATTTAAATGTCAATTAGACAGTATACAACAACTTATAAACGCAATAGAAATTGTCAATATTCAGAATGTCACAATTTGCTTCTTTAGTACGAATTAGGTTCTCAATCTATGCCTAAGAAAAGAGATATAGGAATCATATATATCCATTAATCAACATAAAACTCACCTATTGGCTCGCACAACCTTATTCAAGGGCGGAGCCATAAAATTTTATTACGGGTAGCTGAGATGACAACATATATGGCAAATATTTCATCTTCCCATGAGCATTGAATAATTTAAATATATCCTTAAAATTTAAAGTTTTGTTCAATTTAAAAAACTCTATTACTTGTTTATTGAATTTACTATTTAATTCTCTTAATTGATAATTGTAGTAAATAAATATATCAACATGATAATGATATTCAATTGTCACAAATTCTTTATGCCAATGAAATTTAAGTATATCATAATAAAAACTATTCATATAATAAATTTTAATAGCTTGGTTATTACAAAAAAAGTAATTTTTTTGTAGAAGAATATATCTTAACCATAACCTCTTAACTTTTGATAAGTAGTCTTATGATAGATATCAAACACATAGCATTCAACAAATCTTAAGATTTTTATTGCAATCTTTGGCAAAGTTTCTTAATTATAATTTTCAAAACTAAATAACATCAATGCTTTAAGAGAAATTTCCACGTTATATTGTTAAAAATAAGTGCATTCTATGGCAACTATATTTTCATGCTACTGAAACAATTGAATCATACATGGGTAAAAGATTACTATAAATTGAAATAACAATTCCATCTAGTCTCTCAAAACTTATAATGTCAACTTAGGAGGGTCAAAAATATATAATCCCTCTATTTTATTAAGAAAAAATTAAAAAGCTGGGGTCCCTGTCTCCACCCCTGACCCTATCTCTCTTTGTTTTACTTCCTCCTATAATATTTAAGTTAATTCTATATGAAGAATTCACTGATATGAACACTAAGAATATGTAAAACAGTAATTATGAGGAATTTATATAGAGGTTGTGATTTGATGCCTCATAGGATACTGACCGGACATGTTTTATCGTACCATTCAAGGGTCAATAATATATATAAGAGAGTCTAAGAATAACTAGATGGTTCTTTCATCTTTGGTAGTTAAACTTGTCACGACAGTTACCTAAAAGTGAGACTAGAGTACTGACACCAAGTATTTACTCGAAGGCAGCTAAGTTAAATCTGATCTAAAATAATTAGAAGGGAAAAAGAAAAAGAAAAAAGATCTAGCGAAACCCGCCCCCTACATGTATATTTATGTTGAACTGAGGGGACAGAAGTGGAATCCAATGATATATTTCTAAGCTAATCAAATAACTTTCCACTATATAATTTATAAACCTAAACGTGGGACATTATCTTATAACATTTGGGGATATTACACACACACGTACCTGCGTTATGGGTTCTCAGAATATAGTAGCTCTCAAAAGTCGAAACTTCATATGGGAGATATATAATCCATTTACGTGCTAAGCTAGCATGATATAATGTATGTTTATAATATATAAACATACGTATAATTTCAATTAGCTCATATGTGTGTGTGTGTGTGACCAGCACAAGTCTTTAATAAAAAAAAGTATGACCAATTTTGTTCAGTCCCTATAGCTTATCCCTTATACTTTCTCTAGTCCTCGTACTACTTCTCAAACCATGGACCTGATCCAATATGTAATCTTACCCGGGAAAGAAACAACTAAAAAAACAGCACATATTTGACTATATATACAAACAAAGAAGGGGACTCCTACGTTAAGAGAAAAAGCTAGAATATAATCTCATCATATATTATATAGATAGGTACATACATTGCAAATATATATCAGCACATACATACATACATACATATATATGTACAATTATGATCTCTAATTAAAATGCCAATAGCAAGCAGTAAGACTTGCAAATTAACAGCCATAGGATACCAAATGAATCATGCAAACCATATATATCAAATGCTATTTTGGTTGCTGTATATTGATGATGATGATGCTGAAAGTGACTGAGCTAGCATATATGTTTAAAAAGATGGATACAACAGTAATAGAAGGACTTACCCCATATATATATGTCAAATTCTTTGTCAATACTTCTAAATTCCCATTCCAAATATCAAATAATACAGTAATCCTGGACACTTAAAAAAGTACCATTAGCTAGTGAAGCGTTTTAAGCTGATCCAAAGGACATTGCTAGAGTCATTTAATGCCAAAAACGAGGGCCTGGCACAAGTACTGATTCATGACTCAGATTATAGGGGCGTCCCTGAAATTAATCAATCATAAGAAAAAGTGAAATCCCATATGAGACGTAGCATACATAAGATCGATATTCTAGTGGGTTATAGTGCCAAATTTAATTCTCAATTAGTAATTAGTAATTAGTAAGTAAAAGTAATTGTAATATCACAATGTGTCAAACTTAAATAGCTTAAGAAACTTGGTTAACCATGCATCTCCTAATATTTTTTCTAATTACTAGATGTGGGACTTCGTCTTATACAATATGTGGGTGATGCCAACCCAATTGATTTGTAGCTTGAAAGAAGCAGGATTATAGATTTGTATTCTCCTTTAACAAAAGAAATGTGAGGATTGGAGAAAGCATATATAGCATGAAATATGATCATGATCGATGCTTTAGCACTGTGTTTGGCAGCGGGACGAGACAGTGTAATTCTTGTACGGAAGTCAAATATACACAGCAGCACCATGGAAAAAGACAGTCTTATATATAATGAGCATTGGACATGCAATGGGGATAGAGACAGCAGAAAACCAAACATTCATTCGAATCAGATAAAGTTCTGATTAATTAATTAACAATAGCTAGAGATTTTGGATTAATTAATTACATTTTGGCAACAAGAATACTCCAACAAAGACATCGATTTCTGGTTTCCCCCCTCATATCTAGCTATAATTAAGATAATCCTCAATAATTTTCTTTTGATCACTGTACAATGTCCAATTCGTGGAAGACAATGAGTTAATATAGTATAATTTGCGAATCCCGACAAAGGAAATAAATTAAGTCCAAATAACATATAAATATCACATGTGTATACTTAGTTAATTAGTTGTTGTTATTATTTTATATGTTCACTAAAGATAATGATTACGAGAAGTGCATGATCTAAAGGACACTATGCTCGTACACAAGCCATGCTAAACATTGATTAGCACTATTGTTGTACGCATACGATTTAGGGTTTATAAGGCTATGGCTTAGGGTTTACTACGACAGAAACAAGAAGATTAGACCTACTTCAAAACCAATTTTGCCATAGCGTTTGCTGAAGATTTGCTTTTCTAGCCATGAATCTTTGGTGCAGAAAAATCAATCACAGATGATCAAACATAAATGCAAAAATAATTAATAAAAAATTAGTCCAAATCAGTATAAGGAAAGAAAACTGCCATACCTCCTCGTTCTTCAGAGAAGCCAAAGAAATTACACTGAAACTTAAAATTCCTTTTCGACCAATCTCATCAGTCACTTAATTTAGCAGTATTCAAATAATTAAGCCTATAGTATAAATCTTAATTATATGTAGCAATCATTAAATTAATCCGATGGTCATGAAAACGGTAGAAATTGAATCAAATAATGGCAAGCTAGCTAGCTAGCTAGATACAGATATGACACAGTAATAAAAATTAATTAAGAAAGAAAATTACCATATAAGCTTTCTCAAATTCTTTTCACTGCATAGGCAAGTTGTTACTTGAGGTTTCACCGTTGAACTGTGGCTTCATCAAGAGAGGCCTCTTCTTCTTCTTCTTCTTATAAGGGATACCTCTGGCCTTGGCCTGAGAATCCCTCACCTCACGAAGGTAAACTCTTATGGCTCCGCTGGCAAAAGGATTGGTCTCGGGCAAGCCACCGTTTTCCTCATAGGCGGCTCGGAGGCGGCCGATGAGGGCATCAAGGCTGCCCCAGGCTTGTCTGAGAGGGCAAGTGCAGGGACCAGGAGGTTCGGATTGTCCGAAGAAAAGACAACCTTGGATGTGGACCTTAGTCTTGCCGAACTGGTCAAGGTAGCGGAGGAAGTCGAGGACATGGTTGAAATTACAGTGTGAAAGAGCCACCGGAGGCCTCTGGTTGCGAAGGTACTGTCCGAAAGTGTTCCAATCTCGTCGTTTCTGAGACTCGTAGCGACTCAGAGGCTGAGGCTGAGGCTGAGGAAGATGATGATCGGAAGGAAAGGATCTGGACGATGACGAGGAGGACGATCCAGGGGCTATGTGTTTTCCTTTGGTGGTGGCGGAAGAGGAAGACATGGTTTCTTGAATTGTGGTATTAGTGATGATAAATCATTTTCTAATCCTTTTTGTCAAGTAAGAACAAAAGGAGGTCTAGTCTCCTATTTTCTTTTTGAGTGGGAAGGAGGATGATACAGAAGGAGATATTAATGCAATACAAGTAGTGGAGCCAGAGAAACCGGAAAAAAAACAAAAACAAAAACAAAGGAGCCTGTTAATTGGGGAATTTAATTTTTTTAAAAAATAATTTAAGACTTAGTGTATCTTTAAATCAAAAATCAAATTTGTCAAGTTCAGATATTTTGTCTTAATTTTTATCAGAAAATTAAACTAATATTTTAAATCTCAAAAGTTGAAGTATAGTTTTTATATTATATTTGAACAGAAGTTAATTATAAAACACCCACTCATGTATAATTTTCACACAGTAAAGCTGTCGGACGGTAGGTGATTAACATTTTGATGAGTCTATGAGGAAACTTATGAAAATATATCTAAAAATAACTATATATACATATTGTGGATTTATTATGTTTTACAAGAGTCATATCTGCTTACACTTACATATTCTAAACGAGTTTTGTGGAGTTTATTTATTTATTGCATATATATAAGTGTTTTCTTATTAGAATCAATTCTATTCGAGGCACTGTTAGATACTAAATAATGTGAGCATCTTTTTTAATAAAAATTTAAATATTTAATTTATCATGTGAAAGATTAGTCCCTCTCACTTAACCTAATCACCCATTGATAGTTTTGTTTGTTTATAAATATAAATGTTCTTTTTTTTTTTACAATTTTAGATATTTGTTAGTAACATATATTTGATAAAAAATATTGCCTAATCTTTTTTACATCTGTACAAGATGTACGATGTTTATTTTTTAAAAAAAAAAAAGAGAATAGATATGTTATTTAACTTTATCATTACAAGATTAATGTAATAATCAGCTATAAAGTTATATATATGTGTGTTCTATTTTAATTAATTAGAACATCTCAAATCAAAATTAAAGGGACTAGTCAGATAGGACAGAGTGTGGGACCAATTAGAATGCTTTGGCGCCTCTTTTTCTTCCTGGCCTACATTATTTCTTGCTTTAATGGTACTGCATTTACATTAACCATCAATCACACTTTATTTTTCTTCTTTATATATTTCTTTTTTGTTTTGTTTCTATCATCAAAGCAATTATTGTGTGACTTAGCGTAATTGACAGTTATATTGCCTGATGTCCGTTATACTTTTTTATACATACTAGGCATGTTTGGGACTGAAGGGTAAATAAATATAGAAAAAAAATTGGGTGCTTAAACTTATATAACTAATATTAATATTAATATTTTTATTAAAAATGTGTATTTGTATATTATTTTACCTCATAATTAGCTCTTTTTATGCATTTATCTTAACAAATATTATTTGAACTCTTGGTCTTGTTTTAGGAAGTCGTGTCCCTTCTACTCAAGCTACCATTAGTATTCTATATAATTAACTTTCTATAAATTAACATTTTTATTTTTTAATTTAAAGTCCAATTTTACTTTCATTGACATTTAAAAAATTACATTTTATGAGCTTAGTTACCTAAGGTTTTCCTATTAATATATAAATATTCAATATATGTGATAAAATTTACAGCAAAACTTACCATTAACGCTACATAAGAGTACGGCTGATTCTTTAAAATGCATGCAATAAACAGGAAAACGCCTTAATTACCACATCCACATGGGATAGGGTTGTGTGGCATTGCATTTTTTTTCCCAAACAGAATGTTTGTTACTTTTCATAATTTTTCTTGTTAAGCATAACATTTAGTTTAGAAAAAAGAAAAAAAAAAGTCTTAAGCAGTATTATGTGTTAGGATTCATTTATTCAATATTTGTTCTACATATGCTTCCAAATATATCATAACCATTAGAAGATTTGAATAACTAAAATGAATATTGGGCGGATTAATTTGATTGAAAGATAGGAATATAGAGAATTACATTACATAACTCCCTTTTAATTTGACTTCATTATCAATTCATATATAGTTTTACATTCTTATAAAAGATTAAAGCTATAACATATTAATACTTAAAATTCTAAATGTTCTTTTATTTTTTGATTTCATTGCCCACAATCTTAAAAAACTTAGGGGTATTAAGACCACCTACCTAAAATAATCCAAACCCCCAATGTGTGGGATTGTTATTACTAATAATAGATTCACAAATAATTTGAGGATGCTTTTAATATATTTATTTAGCGTAATTGTACATCCCAATACTCGAACTCGAGATGTTAATAATAATATTTGTAATTATATGCTTCTTTTTTATCTAATTTGTATATATCAATATGTAAAATAGAAGATTTAAAATTTAAATGGTACGTTGTGATATTTTTTAATTGCTCGTCAACTTTCTTTCATTTAAGACACGATTAAACACTAAATGTGGGTACTTTTTAATGAGCCATAAATGGTTTTTTTTGGGGGGAAAAATTATAATATGGTCATAAATGGTACAATTTGCATCTAACTTCATGCAAGGAAAAAAGTATCTAGTTATTAGTAATTTAATAAGGACCCTGAGTAAATAATATTCATTCGAAAAGTAAATCTGAACAATTCCATGAGCTAGCTACATATATAATTTGATTAGGTGAGATTATTTCTTAATTATATTAAGCTAAACTTCAATTTCATCCCCCCTACACACACCTGAAGGGGCCCCGAAACAGGAAAGAAATTAAACCTTAATCAAAGTACGTAAAAGATTTTTACAATCAATAATGAATCCTATAGCTAAATATTTATGACTAATTACTATAGGCCACCGATATGCATTATTCAATCTTCATCATAACTTCTTTATTATTATTATTATTATTATTATTATTATTATTATGATACTACTACCTCTATTTCAAATTATAAGACATTTTAAAATAATATCTCATATACTAATAAAGCTTATTAAATGTACTTTATAACCTATTAGGCAAAAAAAAATTATTTTACAGCCTTACCTTTTCAAGACAAAAATATAAAATTTTAAAAATACCCTCCACCATTCAATACTCTATTTATAAAAGAATATAAAAGAGAGAAAACATATGGGAAGGATAATATTAAAAAAATATTATTAATAAAACATTATTTTTTTCAAAATATATTGTATTTTGGGATGCCAAATCTCCTCTAAAAGTGTCTTTTGATTTGAAATAGAGATAGTAAAATCAATGAACATTAGTCCTAGCCAAATTATTTCTTATAATTGTATAAAAAATTATTTCTTATAATGTATTCTTTCCATTTTCAAATATAAGAAAAAAATAATCAACTTACATAATTTAAGAATGAAGTTAAGTATAATAATTACTTCTCCAGTTCCATTTATATATAAGATATTTTTAATTAAATCACGTGGATTAAGAAATGTGGACAAAATTAGTTAAGGATTTTTATTTTTTTTTCAAAAATTTCTATAGATGTATCTAATTACCTGCACCTAAATGAATGCCAATTGGATATGTGGATATTTTTGAAAATAACTCAATAATGTTTCATCAAATTTAATTTTATAAGCTGTATTATATTAGGGAATGAGTAAATTTTTTAGAAGATATCTTAAATTAAGGATTGGATGGAATATGTTTGGAATTTAAAATTTGGACTAGATTGTTCTCGTAACTATGAAACAAATTTATCTCATGAAAATAAACTTTGACTTCATGAAGGGTAATTTGAGAAAAACGTGTTAAAAGCTTCTTGAATAAGAAAGCACATAGCTTTTTAATTTCTTATAATAAAAAAAGGAGGGAGTATTTTATCCTTTATTTTGGTATTTTCTATTTAACTTAAAATCTCCTAACTACTTTTTGATTAAAACAATGTAAGATTAACTTTGTCTCCAAAGTTGCAGGAATCATTTTCAAACGGGTTCATTAAAATAAATGAAATAATCCTTATTTAATTTAAAGCATAACAAAAGTGAAGATATATTTTAATGTCCACTAGCTAGCTAACCATTGCTTTGGACAAATAATATCAAAAATATACCTTTCATATTGAATCTGAAAGATTTTGTTGTGGCATTTTCCTAATTAGTATGATAGCATTTGCCCTCGATCATGACTGCCACCCAAATTTCAAAATTCATTAAATATAAAACATATTTAAATTAATGCATCAAAATGATATCAAACATCAACAATAATCTACTGCTATATAATTTTTGTAGGAAATCAATGGTTTATAAATAGTAAAAAGATTTGATATATATGACTGCTTTGAGTTACATGTTTTTTTTTTTTTCATTTGCATTAGTTTTTCAAAATATTTATTTTATGGAGCTTTTGCACACATAGCCCATCATAAGACCAAGTAAAAGAAATAGTTTGTCTTTTTTAAATTTCAAAAATGAATTTTTTAATATTTATTTTATAATTAATTTACAAAATTATCCTTTTAATATCTATGTTTTGCAAATACTAGAAAATTCAAAATGTAAGAAATCTCTGAAACAAGAAAGATGAATGCGAGAGAGAAGATGGAACTGGATGTGAGAGAGATAAATGCGAGACAGTAGAACAATGTGAGCAAGCCATAATCATGACCACAAGAGACAAATGCAAAGTGAGATACATCGACGATATTTGATGGAATGGAGCACGTCAGCAAGGAAATGGATCTGTAGATTCATAATTTTTTATTTTTATTAGTTCAAGTATTTGACTCTCGATGATAAATTAAAAGTCTAAAAATTTTTGTGGATTGCGTTTGATCCATTTTTGGGCAAATAATTATGTATTTTTTATGTTATTGATTCACAATACTACATCATTGACATATTGCTGTATATTATTAATATACTATTATAGATATATAACTAAATAATCAGACATAAATTTGTTTATCATTGATATATATATATATACATGTACATCAATGATGTAATATCATAGATTAGTAACATAAAAAATACATAATTCTTTGCCCAAAATGAATCAAATACAGTCCGTAAAAAAATTTGATGTTACCAAGATCATGTGAAAATGA